CTCCCCCTCTCTCCTTCTCTCCCTCTCCCTTTCCCTCTCTCTCTCCCTCTCCCCTTCTCCTTCATGGCTGCCATTAGTTGAATGGTAAATAGTGTTTGTCCACCACCTTCCACGATGATGTTCTGCCTTTCTACAAATCCAAAAGCAACAGAGCCAGCAGATTGTGAACTGAGGCTTCTGGAGCCATGGGCCAGATGAATGTGATCTCTGTTTAAGTAGGTTATCAGTGATGGAAAGCTGTTTTGCATGCTCACTATGTGCCTAGGAATGAGCTGCCCTTCTATTTGTGTTAACTATTATTCCACCTTTAAGGGCCTTTGTAGCCAGGTCACCTTTTTAGATCATTGAGACTGTAGGAAGGAGCCTGGGGGGAGCGGGGGTGGTATGGCTATGGAACATCAGGAGTCCTGGCTGTACTACCTGGCAGCACAGCTTGCTGGACACCCATGGGTGGGGTCCCCAACAAGACATTGAATTGGTGCATCTTTGTGGTGTGCCAGGTTTACTTGTTGGAAGGGCAAGTGTCTAATAATTCATTAGTAATCTAAAATATTAGAACATGGGTATGGTTTGGAAAATAAATTGTCAGCCTTAAAAACAGCTTTTTTATTTTTTGCCAGTCCTAAGGCCTTGAACTCAGGGCCTGGGCACTGTCTTTAAGCTGCTTTTGCTCAAGGCTAGCATTCTACCACTTGAGCCATACTGCCACTTCTGGCTTTTTCTGTTTATGTGGTACTGAGGAATCGAACCCAGGACTTCATGCATTCTAGGCAAGCACTGTACCACTATGCCACATTCCCAGCCCCAAAAACAGTTTTTAAATTTACATAATTTTAAAACTACATGATAGAGATTCCCTCCTGAGAGCTGGGCCTTTTGAGATGAGTGATCCACTCTGTAGCTCATAGAGTGGTGTGAACGGTGCCAGTGCCCCCTAACTGGGGCTGAATGAAGCCAGCCTGAGGCTATCTTACAGGAAGTCTCTCTCACAAGAATGGATTGGGAATTTGGGATTTTTTGTCCCCCCCCCCCCCCCCCCCCCCAATCCTGGGGCTTGAACTCTAGACCTGGGCACTGTCCCTGAGCTTCTTTGACCCAAGGCTAGCACTCTACTACTTGAGCCACACAGCACCACTTCTGACTTTCTGAGTAGCTTATTGGAGATAAGAGTCTCATAGACTTTGTGCCCAGGCTGGCGTCAAGCCAGCGTCCTCAGATCTCAGCCTCCTGAGTAACTACGACTACAGGCATGAGCCACCGGTGCCTGGCTTTTATTTATTTTTTAATTAATTTTTTATTTATTTTTTTTGTCGGTCGTAGGGCTTGAACTCTGGGCCTGGGCACTGTCCCTGTACTCTTTAGCTCAAGGCAAGTGCTCTGCCACTTGAGCCACAGTGCCATTTCTGGTTTTGTGAGTGGTTTGTTGGAGATAAGAGTCTCAAGAGTTTCCTGCCCAGGCTGGCTTTGAACCAAGATCCTCAGATCTCAGCCTCCTGAGTAGCTAAGATTATAGGTGTGAGCCACCAACGCCCGCCTCAGTTTATTTTTTAGTTGAAATGTAGGATCAAAATGGAAATGCTAGGCATTATGACTCACATGTATAACTCTAGCTACTTGTGAAGCAGATTAGGAGGATAGTGATTCAAGGCCAGCCCAAGAAAAAAGTTCACAAGATCCCCATCTCAACCCCAGTATGTACCTGTCATCCTGGCTATATGCATGAAGCTAAATAGGATTGTGGTCCAGGCCAGACTATGCAAAATTATGAGACATTATTCAAAACATATCTAAAGTCAGGTGCTGGTGGCTCATGCCTGTAATCCTAGCTACTGAAGAAGCTGAGATCTGAGGATCATTGTTCAAAACCAGCCTGGGCAGGAAAATCCCTGACACTTTTACCTCCAGTTAACCATCAGAAAACCGGAAGTGGTGCTGTGGCTCAAGTGGTAGAGCTCTGGCCTTGAGCTGAAGAGCTGAGGGACAGCGCTTAGGGGCTGAGTTCAAGCCCCATGACCAAAACAAAACAAAAAAACTAAAATACATAGGACTAGGGGCCTGGCTCAAGTGGTAGACCACCTGTCTAGCAAGCAGAAGGCTCTGAGGTCAGACTCCCCCATTACTAAAAAAGAAAAGAAAAAAAGAGTAGACCATGTGCTAGTGGCTCTAGTCCATAATCCTAACTGCTCAG